CATACATATATACACATACATATATATATACATACATATATACACATACATACATATACACATACATACATACATACATACATACATACATACATACATACATACATACATACATACATACATACATACATACATACATACATACATACATACATACATACATACATACATACATACATACATACATACATACATACATACATACATACATACATACATACATACATACATACATACATACATACATACATACATACATACATACATACATACATACATACATACATACATACATACATACATACATACATACATACATACATACATACATACATACATACATACATACATACATACATACATACATACATACATACATACATACATACATACATACATACATACATACATACATACATACATACATACATACATACATACATACATACACATACATACATACAGATACATACATACACATATATAGTGCCTTGCGTTTATAATCACTAAAAAGCTGTCACTCATCTTCGTTCACAGCAATCTCACAAAGATAGCCTACGTTATAATCAATGAAGTTCTCTACGCTGCACACCAGTTTAGAAGAACAAATAAAAACATGGAAAACATTTACTCACCTTCATACATGGAATCAGGAGAATCCAGGGATCTGAAAGCTTTAAAGCGTCCATAGAAGCCCCTGTAGGGGACGCGCCGGTTCCCGTCGATGAGCAGCACCACCTGAACAGTGTTGGACACGGAGGTGTACCTGGCCTTTCTCCAGCACCTCTCCAGGATCCTCTGCCCTCCTGCAGGCGCCGGAGACTCATCCAGGTGGATCTGATCGCTCTTCTGCTGACAGGCATCCGATGGAGTAAAGTCCTCCAGGTAGAGCTCCAGACGCTTCCCAGGAGGCACCTGGATGGTCCAGTTGCACCACACGGGGGGCTGTGAGCACAGGTAATCAGGGGAGAAGAACTCTCCGCCGTCATCGAGGAGGACTTGATGGCAGCTGCGCAGGGCATAGAACGCGTATCGCTCGTGGCCTACACCTGACCAGAGACAACATTTGAGCACATATATCCCTCAAAATATAGAACTATTTTAACTGAAGAGGAAAAGTTACAGGGCAATGAAATGACCCAAAATAAGATTAAAATTTGACATTATATTTGGTTAAAAGTATAATAATAATAATAATAATAATAATAATAATAATAATAATAATAATAATAGACAGTTTATCCCACAAAATATGTACATATTTTCATTGGAGGATGAATGGAGGATAAATAAATTGGAGGATAAATAAGATAAAATAAAATAATATTAAATATATTATTTTTAATAAGACGACATGAAATAGCCAGCATTATTAATAATAATAATAATAATATACAATTTATTCCACAAAATATCTACATATTTTTTTTATTGGAAGAAAAATTACAGGTGATTTTAATTATAAAAATAAGAGAAAATAAAATAATATTAAATGTTATTTTTAATAAGACATGAGATAGCCAGGATATTTAGTATATTTATCTCCAAAAAAATATCAAAATATTTTCATTGGAGAGGAAAAATAACAGGGGATTTAAATGAATAAAAAAGAACATAAATGGATAATATTAATAAATATATTCTTACAAAATACAATAAAGATTTTAATAATATGAATAAGATGAAATAAGATGGCATGTATTGTAGCATATTTATCCCCCAAAACATCAAAAAAAAAAGATTTAGATAAAGATTTGTTTTTACAAAACATTATATAAATATGCAAATAAACAATAATACTCCTAACGAGATATCTAAACAAAATGTGTTTAATTTTGTAAAATAAAAAAAAGATTTCCAAGCATTCATCTATTCCTCCTTGCACGATATATATTGTGTATTAAAGCGTTATATCTTTTCAATTAGTTTTTTCTCCATACTGCAAAGCTGCTGATATTTGTGAAAGTGCTATACATTATTAATTGAATATATTTATCTTATATTTTGTTATTTAAAAAAATACACACTATTAAAACGATTGTATTTTAAGATTTTTAAAAATTATTTAAAAAGTATTTAAGTTATTTAAAATAATTGTAAAATTATAAGTTAATCATTTTTATGATTTATGATTCAACTATAATAACGAATTTAACAATACCTCCGCATTATAAATGGGTCTTTCTTTACACATATTGACGCTTGGAAATTTTGCTTTAAAAAGTTTGAAAACTGAGGACACAAGATAAACACGTAACAGCTAAAGCAAGAGGAACAGGTACGCCACAAAGTTGACATGGATGTAAATGTGACTGACCGCTGTTTACCTGCGGATGCTTGTCCGCCGTATCTGTTGATCTGCCAAAAACAGACAGATTGAGTGAAACATAAAGCGATCAGACCGCCATCAGATGACCAGCCATGAGTTACTCACCTCAGCGCTGCTTATCAAACCTGTCAGATAGATTAATATCACAAGACTGCATGTACTCAATAAATGCCGCCGTGGCATTTTGGATTTATGCTCGTGAACTTTCTACGTTGTTGTCAGATGCTTGTTTGAAAAACTAAACGGAAGAGGCCTGCATCACCTGTATTATATCTGTAGTTAATGAGGGAAGTTTACCTGTTGCGCATGAATGAATGAATGAGGTTTATATGACATGTGACTCGCTCTTGATCCGACAGAGGGCCCCGCGCAAACATTAATGTGACCCTGGACTACTAAACCAGTCATATAGCCTATGGGTCATTTTTTATTTGATTTATTTTTTGAAAGCTTTCCATTGATGCATGGTTCGTTAGGATAGGACAATATTTGGCTGAGATACAACTATTTGAAAATCTGGAATCTGAGGGTGCAAAAAAAAATCTAAATATTGATAAAATCAACCTTTAAAGTTGTCCAAATGAAGTTCTTAGCAATGCATATTACTAATCAAAAATTAGGTTTTGAGATATTTACAGTAGGAAATTTACAAAATATCTTCATGGATCACGATCTTTACTTAATATCCTAATGATTTTTGGCATAAAAGAAAAATGGATCATTTTGACCCATACAATGTATTGTTGGCTATTGCTACAAATATACCCGTGCTACTTATGACTGCTTTTGGTCGTGACATAATGGAATCCTAGCATACATAGTATATACCTAACCTAATTATGCATGCTTTTAAAGATAGAATGAGAAATGCTGATCATGATGCAGTAATAAAGAATCGTATAATGAGATAATAATATAGCAGCAAAATGAATCAAAGGTCACAGCTTACTTGCACAATTACTAGCTATATATACAAAACACTGCTTAACTGGAATGATAAAAACAAGTTTCACTTGTCAAGGCTATTTCCTGTGTTTTCAGGACAATTTAATTCTATCCATAATCACAAATTTGCACTCATATTGAACAAATGACTGAACATCACACAAAATATGACATGGAAATCTTTTGTGCTCATCTTCCATGATGAGTTAATGAAGATTTATACAGTAATTGATTTGGATTTTGACTTTGCACTTTGGAGGCTCGTTCAGTTCACTGTGTGTGTTGTAAGTGTCCTACAGTATGTTGCCCTACAACAATGGTGCAAAGGTCACAGCTTACTTGCACAAACAGTATACAAAGTAATAAAACTTATATTATTATCCTTGTGCTGATAGTGTAGTTGGAGAACGATCAAACAGCAGCTTCCTGAGAATATAGAGGTTTAATGCAAGAGAAGTCAAAGAGCTCAGCTATAGTCTTCCACACACGAATGCAAACATAAATTAAAACAACAACATAAAAATACACAAACACATCAGACTCGCTCTTTCTGTTATGAAAATGCACCCTGATTTCTTATGTCAACATGCATCATAGTGCACCATATATAACTCATTTTGAGCAAATAATCATGATTCGTCACATCAAAGTGAAAGAAGGTGCGCAAATATGTCCCAGCTAACAGGGAATGTTCTCAGAATGTTCTAGCAAGGTTCTCTCAAATGTTCTTCCAGTAACATTCATAGAACATTTGTTCAAAGTTCTCTGGTCTTTAGTAATGTTCTCAAAACGTTAGCACAGAAACATGATCTCATTCATGCAACTTTTTTACTGAAATGTTTAAACTGGAAGTTCCATCTAATGTTGTTTAAATGTTAAAACTTGTTTTAGAATGTTCAAAGAACATTCAAAAGTAACATTCCTATGATATTTGATTCAGTGGAATGTTCCCTTAACGATTGCGTAAGCAAGAAAAAAATGTTTATCCACACTATTTTTCCCGTAAGTGCGGGCACGGCCATTTGTAAATTTTATGGGTCTGGCTTCTGGTGTCATTCCCTTCCAGCTATTTTTAGCTGTACAAAACAGCTCGTTGTGCTGCTTGATATTGCAAACTGGTGTTTCTTACCATATTAATTTAATGTATTATCTTAATTTTAAAAACTATTATATTATCTTAATATTAATCTTATATTAAAACTATTGTATTTTAAAATCTTTAAAAAAAATGTTTGCGCTACTGTTTTGTAGAGCAAACAGTTTTACCATTTACTGCACGTTGCTATTTTTCTCGTTATTTCCATACCGCGGCTAATGAACCGGAAGTCTCGCACATTCACAGAAAACGGCTTACTTCCAAGTTGAAAAATAAGGTGGATAAAACCTTTTAAAAACTGGATGTTTTGAGAACATTCAGAAATAATGTTTTTATAACTTAATGGGAACGTTAGCAAAATGTTCTTGGAACACATTTTTGTTAGCTGTACGTCAGTAATAGAACAGGGCATTGGGTTCTATTTGCTTCTGTTGCGTCGCTTTGCGCCCTTCGCTTGCGGTGTATTTACGATGTAACATTTAAAAATATATGTTAATGCAACATTAAAAAAACTGTTGAGAGAGAACATTCAGAAATAATGTTTTTATAACTTAATGGGAACGTTAGCAAAATGTTCTTGGAACACATTTTTGTTAGCTGTACGTCAGTAATAGAACAGGGCATTGGGTTCTATTTGCTTCTGTTGCGTCGCTTTGCGCCCTTCGCTTGCGGTGTATTTACGATGTAACATTTCGCTTTTGGGTCATTAATCCAAGACCAGATCTTTATCATGTCCTGGGGGCTCCTGGGATGGACCAGAATCAGCCTTTTGTAAGCACAAGGATTCTCTCTGTGCTTCTCCTCAATGTCAAAGGTCTTAAAGCCCATGTGTTTCTCCGGTACTAGTCCCAGTCTCTTCAGACACATCCCAGTGTAGACGTCGTCTATTGGGTACAACGTGACCAGACGCGAGATCGTTCTTAACCGCAGCCCCAGATTCCCAGAATACAGGTAGCCTCCGCCTCCGGCGTACGGTGGGTAAACTCCTCGAAACACGCTCTCGGGGATGTAATACTTCAGGTGTTTGGTCCGGTGTGGTCCAGCATTGGTGATCACATCGCCAACAAAAAGGTCCTGTGTCTTGGACACAGAAAAGTTGCCCAGGTAAGCCAGCATATGCCGCGTATTGACGAAAACATCGTCGTCGCCTTTGAACACATACTTGGCAGAAGCGCAATGAGTCCCAAACCACTCCAGAAAGAGGACTTCCTTTAAGGTGAGATTGAAGAACGAGTCTCGATAATCCCACTGCAGGACGTCGCCGTACAACGCCGCTTCGTGCTTGACCATGTCCGACAAGTTCGGGAAGTGGTCCGTCGCTGCCGTGCTGCCAAGTAGGAACACCGTCGCAATGCGCCGGCCGTCGAGGATCCCAGCGCGGCCCCATGATTCCCGGATTGCCTGCCGTCGGTCGAAATGTGCCGCAATGGACTTCACTGCAAGCAAGAGGTACGGCGTTTCAGAACACACGTTGGGTGCGTCCGTTATCAAGGGGTACGACCTACATCCCATGTACAACAAGAAGTCCTGGAATCGCTGCGGTAGGGACTTAAAGTCTTCAATCTCTGTCGTCACCCTGCTGTCCGGCTTGCAGGGACTTGTGCGATTCAGCCAACGTGGGATTCCCCGAAAGTCTTGAGGGGCCTCGCTGCCATTTGCAAGTGGCAGGTAGTAGATGTCATCGAGACGCTCCTGCACACGATTCCAGAACACCAGACTGACCTCCGGTTTCTTCCAGAACTTTTTGGGCGTCAGTTTCCAGAGGTACGGCGTTTCAGAACACACGTTGGGTGCGTCCGTTATCAAGGGGTACGACCTACATCCCATGTACAACAAGAAGTCCTGGAATCGCTGCGGTAGGGACTTAAAGTCTTCAATCTCTGTCGTCACCCTGCTGTCCGGCTTGCAGGGACTTGTGCGATTCAGCCAACGTGGGATTCCCCGAAAGTCTTGAGGGGCCTCGCTGCCATTTGCAAGTGGCAGGTAGTAGATGTCATCGAGACGCTCCTGCACACGATTCCAGAACACCAGACTGACCTCCGGCTTCTTCCAGAACTTTTTGGGCGTCAGTTTCCCTCGATTGTACATGTCTCGGCCCTGCCCGTAGCTTCGGGACACTTCCACCACGACGTAGATGAGGAAGTTGGCTAACATCAGCAATCCCAGCACTTTGGTGGTCTTCCAGTTGCTGTTCATCTTGAAGATGCCCTCACCACCTGAAGACACAGAAAGAGATTTTTTATATGTTGGGTTACAGTCTGGGAACAGAGGTGTGGAAAGGTGAAAGTCTACAGAACGTGGTGGAGAAAGTGGGATAGGCAAACCACAATGACCTGGAAAGTGGAGGAAGTTACATTAGTAACTATGCTAGTTACATTAGTCAAAGCCAGTTAGTATGGACTTGAGCTGTGAGTGTTTGATCCATCGGCATACAGAATGTGTTGAAACCTCAACCATACACCAAAATAAAGATATTTACATTTTTAAAAATAAAGGTTCTTTAGCATTGATGGTTTCATGAAGAACATTTAAAATCCTTTTCCATTCCACAAAAGGTTATTTATAGTGGATATAGTGGTTCTTTAGACTATTAAAATGTTCTTCACACTAAGAAAATAATGGTACTCTTAAAAACTGTTCACAGAAAGGTCCTTTTGAGAACTAAATATGATTCTTCTATGGCATCACTGCAAAAACACCTTTTCAGAACCTTCATTATAATGGCATCTATGGTTCCATTAAGAATCTTTAACATCTGTGGAACCATTTCACTAAATGTTCTTTATAGTGGAAAAAAGATTTTTCAAATGGTCTTTACAATAAGAAAAGGTGAAATGTTCTTTGGGGGATTCAAAAATATTTTTTATCATCATCTATCTTTTCTAAAAAAAAAAAACTGAAACAACTTTTTTCCATGCCACAAATTCTTCTTATTTTTCATTACATTTTTTTTTTTTATAAATCACTTGAATTTATTTTATTTTTTTTACATATATTTAGTTTAAAAAAGCATAAAAAATTACTCTAACATGAATGAAAATTATGTCACATAATGTTGTGGGTCACATTTAAAATGGTCAAAACTATTGGTTTTGAGGAGATGAGAGTGCTAAAGGCTTGTAGTGTTTATGTAGCACATACCTCAACCCAAAAAAGCAGCAGTGGGCTCATGCAAAGCCAGAAACTAACCACAACGGATACATAATTCCTCAACCATGAAGTGCAATGAACAACCTTTGCATGTCAGTTTTAGTAGATGAATAAAAAGAGCTTAAATAATTCATCCAAAAATTTAACTTCTATCATTAATCATTTCAAATGCTGCATTTTTTTCCATGCAACACAAAATAATATTTTTATTATTCGTTTTTTTATTAAATTTACAGTTGTTTTTAACATATTATTACTCCAAAATTAATACAATAAAACACCATAAAAGCACAACTGGTACTTGCATGTCTTTTGAAGTGAAATCATAGCTTTGTGCATCATTTTGTTCTACACACAAAGCTGTAATATGATTTCATAAGGCTCAGAAGAAGAAAAAAAAACTCTTCTAGGGTGAGTAAAAATAATTTAAATTTCTGGATGAACTATTTTTGTGTGAAAGAACCAGCTAAAAACATGAAGAGTAATGAAACATTAAAGTAACGGCTGGTCTGTTACTCACAGCGAGGACATCTGCAGGGTAAGTCTAGGGTGAGATCCATGAGTGAGTCCGGTGTGAAGCGTCCAGGGTTTCTTCTCCTGTAACTGTACCTGAAAAGTAAGGGATGAACCTGCTGCATATTAGCCAATGTTTGATATATCGAACCCAAGATTTCTCTCTGTTTCAGACTCCACACCATTCTACGTTGTGCTTCCTTCTCTCATTCATTCGTAAACATCATGTGTTCCTCATGACACCAATTACAGATGTGCAACATCAGACTCTTCGTAGTCTCGTATAATCAAACCTTTGACTAAACAGCTCTGCTATGGTTCACATTGCAGTTTATTTTGACCCAATAAGACAGGAAGAGACCATTTAAAATGTGTAATCCGAGGACATCTGCAGGGTAAGTCTAGGGTGAGATCCATGAGTGAGTCCGGTGTGAAGCGTCCAGGGTTTCTTCTCCTGTAACTGTACCTGAAAAGTAAGGGATGAACCTGCTGCATATTAGCCAATGTTTGATATATCGAACCCAAGATTTCTCTCTGTTTCAGACTCCACACCATTCTACGTTGTGCTTCCTTCTCTCATTCATTCGTAAACATCATGTGTTCCTCATGACACCAATTACAGATGTGCAACGTCAGACTCTTCGTAGTCTCGTATAATCAAACCTTTGACTAAACAGCTCTGCTATGGTCCACATTGCAGTTTATTTTTACCCAATAAGACAGGAAGAGACCATTTAAAATGTGTAATCTCAGTTTGTGTTGATCAAATAGGTAGTTTAGGGATGGGTTTATGTCAAATAGATGATATACCTCAGATTCTGTAATCAGCCCCATGATATTCAGTTTCAAAGATCTGACATCAGCTTGTCATATTGTGCTTTCAATATGCACCAGTTGAAGCTGGTCTGTGATGTAGCGTTGGAGACCAAACTCTTTCAGACTGCAGGAAACCTTCAAAAGCATTTCTCTGTTGGACAACAAATCTATTTTATGACTGCACTTTAGATCTGACCACACTGACACAATGCTATCATTGCCCTACTTTAACACTTTTCGTAACTGAGTGACAGCTTATTAGCACGGTCCAATCCAGACAATGCATTTAGGATGCTATCACTGATTTTATTGTCAGAAAGTGTCTCATTCAATTACAACAATTAAACTCTTCAAAGGCTTCTTTAAACAATTATTCTGAGATATATAGGCTATTTGTGATATCTATAATCAGTGTTGGGGACTTTTATAAGTAATAAGTTACAATATTGCGTTACTAAAAAAAGTAAATGATTGTTACTTTTACGGAAAGTAATTTATGCTCATTTTTTCTTATCTGGGCAGGGCTTGCTTGTTCATTTTTTAGTATAAAAAGTTCTATTTTTGGCAAATGTAAAAGCCCTTTCACACCAAAAGTGAAATGAATAAGCCTCAGGCTGAAGGAAACGTAAATTCACATCTGTACAGTAGAGGGTGCAGCTCAAACAAACCTTTCAGCTGTGCTGCTATTTTGGATTGCATGAAGAATAGAATGCAGCAATTAAAAAAAAATGAAACAAATGTTATGTTTATCTAAAGTCATTTTTGCTTATTACTATGGTTGAACTGGATCATCAAATGCCAGCAGTAAAGACATTGGTTAATAAAAAGGGTTTAAATACATAAAGGATATTTGTGCTATTTAATATATTTAAATACTGCAAGTTTGCATTTCATTGTTTTAATTCATTTTGCGTAATACTGAATCTGTTTTTCTGCAGGTGAGATGAGTAAATGCATGTAAACATCTAGTCTAGACCTACAATACCCATCATGTTTAGACAGCGCAGGCCTGTCGCATGATTGTGTTTTTCAGCAATAGTGTGCACCCTTCATTTACAGAGAAAAGAAGGTCAGGGAAAAATCTGTAGATGGAAAAATCTCCATACAAGCGGTTTTCTTTTTTTCTACTTGTTACTTTGGACTTTTTGTTAGAAAAAGCTGATTTACTATTTATTCAAGTTTTTTAAGGTATCTAATATTTTGATACTTAATTTCCATGATCTAAATATTCTTAAAAATTAAAAGTTTCTTATCATTTGGAAGTGTGTAGGCCTTCTTGCATTATTTTGCTGTTACATTATGATTATATATTCAGTGGCATAAAATGGTCTTTAAAATGACAATAATATCGCTTATCGCGATTATTTCTGCGGCAATATATCGCACAACAAAAAGTTGATATCGTGACAGGCCTAACACACAATGCCTCTGCACCTTACTCATGATTTCTCTCAACATGGGGACAGGTAAGCTGGCATTCATTAAATGGGAAACAAAGTTGTTACTCATTTGAAAAAGTAACAGATATTTTTTTTTTGAAATTATTAAGTAATGTGTCACTTTACTAGTCACTTGAAAAAAGTAATCTGATTACATAACTCACGATACTTGTAATGCGTTACCCTAACACGGTCTATAACACAATTCATAATAATGCCAGTATTTATGCTTTGGCAACGTACTGCCTGGTAATGCTCTTAACAAAAACTGCTTGAGTGGCTTACTGTTGCTATTACGTCCTCAGGTGAATGCAATTTCTGTTTACCGCTAAGTAAAATAGATCCTAAAAAATGGAACAAACTGAATTCCGTATGGATTTAATGCGGAATGGAAAAAGAAAAACCTGTAAATTACAGGCAAAACACTGTAAATTGCTTTCAGCTGAATCATTTAGACCACTTATTCACTCACTCACTGAATCGTTTAGACCGAATTCTGAGTTAACAGCTTGCTTGGTAAAGCAACACCAAGCGAAGAAAACAAAAACACTGATGTATGATAAAAAGGGAAAATGTGGTTTTCCTTCATATGTATTTAAACTGTGCTTCATCAAGTCCCTTGATGAAAACTGTGATTTTAAAGGTGTAGTCAACATCCCGAAGGCACAGGCTAATGCTTCTGTACAGACACTGTACTGTAAACAGCAAATAAGTTGTGCGTGTGTGTACTGTACATTAGATCTTTGACTTGCCTACACATGTTGATACTCTTATCATTACAAGGAATTTTCAGCTAGCCTATTTTTGTAAGTGTATTTTTGTAAGCTTTATGTGAGTAACAGACTGAAATTCAATAGCCTATTTACAGCAAATCCTCTCAGATCAAACATGACACTGGTTGTTGGACATCAATAAAAATCGAACAGTTCTCAAATACGTCATAACTCCAATTTCATGATGTGCACCATATCTTATTAAAGAAGGTTTTCAGCGACATAAATTCAGTTGTTTTCTTCTCCCACGTAACTATTGCATGACTGATGGATTATGGCACATATAGCCTACTGTTAGCCTACACTCTTAAAAATAAAGGTGCTTCCAAGCGATGCCATAGAAGAACCATTTTTGGTTCCACAAAGTACCATTCAGTCAGTCAGTTCTTTAAAGAACCATCTCTTTCATACCTGAAGAACCTTCTTTCAACACAAAGAACCTTTTGTGAAACAGAAAGGTTCTTCAGATGTTAAAGGTTCTTTATGGAACCATTTAGAAAAAAAACGTTCTTCTATGGCAGGGGTGGCGAACTCCGGTCCTGGAGAACCTACCAAAAGGTCAACAATGAAGATGAGGTACTGCTCATTTATATATCACAGGGGTGACGAACTCCGGTCCTAGAGAGCCGCAGTCCGGCAGAGCTCAGCTCCAACCCTAATAAAAACTGACCTGCCTGTAGCTTCCTAGTAACCCTTCAGACCTTGATTAGCTTGTTCAGGTGTTTGATTAGGGGAGAAGCAAAACTCTGCAGGGCTGCGGCTCTCCAGGACCGACGTTCGCCACCCCTGTTCTATGGCATCGTAAAGCACCTTTATTTCTAAGAGTGTATTATATTTTTGGGAGACATCCAATGGTCATTGTACTTGTATGGATAAGATCTACAGTATGCAAAAAGTCTTTAATTCAGACAGGAGACCTGAGAAAATGACAATTTCCCTTTTTTTGGTGAACTATCCCTTTAAAGATTTGACAGAAAGATAGATATTCGCATTAATTTTTTTATTGTAACTAATAATAAGTCAAATCTTTTATTTGCCCTAATAAAGATAAGGGTGGTGCAGGTGAACAGACCTATCAAAAACAACGACATTCGTATCATGTAGTAAAATACATCTGATTAGCAATTTTTAAAAAATGTAATCATTTCGACTACCTTATTTTGGCATTTAGAAGTCTTAACTCGTAAGTGTAACCTTGTCTGAATTTACCTGTGCGTGAGGGTCTGTTCTCACCTGTATAGCAGCGGTCCACAACAGTTTCTTCTTCACAGACATAACATTTTCCTCTATCTTTTGCTCTCAGTCCGCCGACCGGAACTGTTGTTGTTTATTTCTTTACTGAATTTCTGAAGTCTCATTTAAAGTCAGTAATGCAGATGAAGGTGCCGTGTGTGCTTGAGTCAGGTCAGAGTCTCCTCCGCCGACTGCGCGAGCGCCTCCCTCACGACGGACGTGAGCACGCACGCCTGCGTACAGGCTCAACTACGCGCGCCTGGACCAATTTTGTATAATCTCCTCACCAACACACGGGTCAAACACACTTGTGAGGACGTTTGATATGCTCGTAACTATATACAATGCTCACAAATCGTATTGTGCACTTTGTCTGCAAGATGTCCTTAAGGTGTATTTGCATTCTGATTAAGGCTTAAAACTTGCCTCAGGGTAACACAACGATTTTCTTCACTTTGCAAGCAAATGATGCATTAGGCCCATGCTTAAAAACAACACTTAAGCCCACACCATAAGCCCTAGCGGTCTTTTAAAAATATATTTCTGCATCACATGGAAGAAGGAATTTTATATTGATTTTTTTGTCCATTAAAAATGTGATTGACTGCATTTTAAAACTTGTTTTTTCTTTTTTTTGTATGTGGAAGTGCTTAAAGGGGTCATATGATGCGATTTCAATTTTTCCTTTCTCTTTTGAGTGTTACAAGCTCTTGGTGCATAAAGAAGATCTGTAAAGTTGCAAAGACTAAAGTCTCAAATCCAAAGAGATATTCTTTATAAAATTTAAGCGTCAACCACGCCTACCTAAAACGGCTCGTTCTAACATGCCCCCACATATCTACCTCACTATGTGGGAAGATTTGCATAACGCCGCCCAAATGTTCACGCAAAGAAAGAAGGCGTGACTTTTATTCTCGCTGTAGTATTGTTGCCACTGTCATGTCGTGAAGGCGCTGTGTGATTCGTTGTGAAAGCGAAACTACTTTGTTTGGTCTTCCAAAAGATGACGATATCGCTTCATCATGCCTGGAGCTGATCTGTGCTGGTCGCTGAGGAAATACATCAACTTCGCGCTATGGATCACCGGATCGGCTTTCACTGTGGACGAAGCGGAGTCCAGCCCGGGGTCGTCACATGTGGTTGCCGCAGGCATCACAGTATGGTAAGGGACCTAACATTTCCGTCACACGCTTGAGGAACTCGGCCAATCACAACGCACTGGATAGCTGGCCAATCAGAGCACACCTCGCTTTTCAGAACGATGAGTTTTGTAAAAATTGACGCGTTTCAGAAAGGCGGGGCATAGAGGAGAAACAATAATGTACAGTATGTGGAAAATAATTTTCAAATAATTTGTTTTTTGAACCTTAAACCGCATAAACACATTTCATTACACCAAATACACAAAATAATGTTATTTTTAGCAACATCATATGACCCCTTTAAATGTGTTTGTTGCCTAAAAGCAATGGAATACAGCTGTAGCCATAAATATTACTGCACTTATTATGTAGTATTTTTATTTATTGGTATTTTCCATTATTAAAGAATTTATCCTTTTAGTATTTATTCCTACTAAGTCAAATAAGGCATAATAAAATCATTCTCTGCTGTTTTTAATATTAGTATTCTGACAGAAAACTGCATGTGGCACTCATTTGCACTACAAATATTTTGTTAAAACTCTTTTTGTTATTTTTTTAGTAATGAGCTCAATTTTATGTAAAAAAAAAAATCTATTTATTTTTTTCAGATCAAATATTTTTCTAACAATATTCTATTCTGTTCCATTCTATATTCAGCACAATAACACCAGGACACCAGCATTAACAGTTAGTTCTGTCAGTATCAGGCTACTAAAATGAACAAATGACTCATTTGATTGTGACCATTAGTTAGCAACACATTCACATAAACGCTTTATGCAGACTGTTCAGAAGGCTTCAGGTGCGATCATCACTAGTAACCTCATATGATACTTTTCAAAGGCCGCAGTTACACCCATTGTCTTCTCATCTGAATAATTAACAGGACATCCACCAGCTTTTAAGCTGGTTAAACCACACATTTGCTGTAAAAGACAGAACGGGGACCATCTGTTTGAGCTCCAGCAGGAACAAAAGCACACAGATGTGTTTGGTCTACGATAAACACACATCAATCCTCATCTGGTTCATGTCCATGTATTCACACCTGTGAGACAAGAGACACGTCTCAACCTGTTCCCCTGAAGGGTAGATGGTGTAAACCCATTTTAAATATTTAAACAGGATGGGTGGCATCCAAATCCATTAGTAAATACTGAGTCTCCAAACACAGACATAGACTAAACATGATACAGGAAAGAAAAATAAATCACAAAGGGGTACAAAATAGCATCCAAAACTGTTAAAAAATAAACTCAAAACGTCAGTGGATGTTGTCCTGTCACCTCAAGAGGAAATCACATGAAAGCTAAAAGTCATTTTATTTTTTAATCATTTTATAATTTATCATTATTGTTCTTATTTATTATTACAATTATAGTTTTAAAAATAAATGATGAATAAACATAAAATTACATTATAACAAAAATAAATACATTTATGCATGCCGTTTTGTTAAATATCGGTAAATCTAATCTTTAAAAACAAAATCAAATCTAAAATACTACAAAGAAATGACATTTGTGTCATAACAAGCCACCAATTTTGACCCTATCATGAACAATATGTCATCTAGGCTTTGTAACATATGGGAACAGTGGGCTTATCTCTTCTCAATATAACTTTGACTTTCAGAATGATGACCTTTGCTCAAAAACACAGCAGTGATAAAGGTGGATTATGATATTAGTATCACAGCAGTTCCTAGAACACTAAATCATTTAGTACACATAATAAACATTAACTCACATGAATTAAGAAGATTTCCAGGTCCACGTCAGGTCATTGAGTCACCTGCGCTGCCACTGCTCACCATTTATCTAGTTATTAATTTAGTTACTTAGTGACTACATAAAAGCGCCATTAACCCTGTGAAGTGATTTAATGCACAGCAAATAAATCTTGAAACAAGGACTGAAAACTGGTAGGGCGTTAGCAAAGCAAGATCATTAGTTCGATTCACATAGAGGGAAAAAAATAAAAAAATCAGATAGTCTGCCAAAATGTGTAGAAATTTATTTTTGGGTTTCTCTCATAATTACATAGTTAAAGCATAAAAGCACAAGTGTTCACTTAAAGGAATAGTTCACCCAAAAATGAAAATTTGCTGAAAATGTCCTCACCTTCAGGCTAACTGAGATGTAGATGAGTTTGTTTCTTCATCAGAACAGATTTGGAAAAATGTAGCATTACATCACTTGCAGTGAATGGGTGCGGTCGGAATGAGAGTCCAAACAGCTGATAAAAACATCACAATAAAAGCTGCACGTTTGTAAGAAACAAAGGAATCCATAATATTGCTTTCTTCAGTGAAAAAGTAATCTCTTCGGAATCAGGAGAGAAATATGCACAAGACTCTCATTCTGACGGCACCCATTCACTGAAGAGGATCCATTGGTGAGCAAGTCATGTAATGCTACATTCCACCAAATCTGTTCCCATGAAGAAATAAACTCATCTACATCTTGGATGGCCTGAGGGTGAGTAGATTTACAGCAAATTTTCATTTTTGGGTGAACTATTCCTTTAATACTCAAACGTTAGTACTTCAGGAATATAAATAAACTATGAACTATAAACTATAAAACTAAGGCTGATGATACACGGGGCAACTTTTTGAGCAATTTTGCCAGGCAACTTTTTTTGAGCAACGTTGCTTGGGCACTTTCCCATTGAGAATGGTTAACAAATTTCTATTTGGATAATTTAGATCAGTCGTGGGCTCTTTGTCTCTCCTGGTTGCCCGTTGATGGAAACATTTCCCAAAGTTGCCCAGCAAAATTGCTCAAAAAGTTGCCCAGTGTTTCATCAGCCTAACACAGAATACAGAACCTGAAATCCTGTATGAGGAAATAATCATGAATTTAAAAAAGTAATAGACTCACAGATATCCAAGTTTGAGGTTTGACAATGATTATTTATGATGAATATAACTTTATGACAATACAGCATATAAAACAAGCACATTCCCTCACTTTCTCTCTCTCTCTCACACACACACCTATGAAGAGGCAGATGAGCTCTAGCTGCGGTGCACCACGCTGTCGATGCTCTCCTGAAGTTCTGCCATCTTCTTCAGCACCAGATTCACCTTCTGCTCATCAAACTCCAAACACACAAACTCAGAGCTCTAAAGTACAGAGAGAAAGACACAGAGGCCATTTAGATGCAGTACGAGCAGTGAACCTGAACTGACCCAAATGCACTTTAAACAACACATCAGTGCTCAGTGTCGATGGGTAATTTCAGTAATGCTGCTGACACACCTGTTACAGAGTCAACCTGCATCAACACAATACGGGAAACAAAGTAGCTCCCACTCAAAGAAAAATGACATCAAAAATCCTCAGAATTCTGAACTTATTTAGAATCAGTAAATAGAATGTTTTTTAAACCGTTTGAATGACAATAAAGAACTAGATTTGCATTTCCTGAAGGGTTTCCTGGAATTCTTGATTCTGATTGGTCGTTCAGCATTCTGTGAACAAATGTTTCCATGGTGATGCTAAACTGCATAATTAATCATTGTCTGAACAGTTTTCCTACTTAGTTTCCTATCTCTCTGCACTCTTTCATCTCACAAAATTGTGAATCAATATTTGATGTCCATTATGTCCAAGTGGATTAATGCACATTCAGCCTTCAACTCTCGCCTGGATGCGGATCACCCTCAAGATTTACTTTGTGATAATGACCAGCTGACTACGCTAGTTACCGTAATTACAGAGCAGCAAAAGAACCGTGTCAAAGCGTTTTTTGTAAAATGATCCAGAAAGGCAGAAGAACAGGACTCAGATGACATCAGCAGCCGAAGCAGGTTTTTATGACATCATCGGGATACCCGAAGTGGCTCCTACGCTGTGTTTCCTTCCAACACAAATACAGCCTAAAACCTAAACTAACCTACAACATAAACACTATTTGCTGACTTGCACTGGTGTCTCCTTCAGGAAAGGCAAATTTGGGTAACCCAATATAAGAAATCTCTTATGCTGCTCACCAAGGCTAATCAAAAATACAGTAAAAACAGTAATATTATGAAATATTATTACAATTTAAAATAATTGTTTTCTATTGTAATATATTGTAAAATGTAATGTGATCAAAGCTGAATTTTCAGCATCATTACTCCATTCCTCAGTGTCACATGATCCTTCAGAAATCAGTCTAATATGCTGGTTTTGAGATCAAGAAACATTTCTGATTATTATTACAGTTGTGCTGCTTCATAGTTTTGTGGAAACTGTGATACATTTTGTTCAGGATTCTTCGATGGATATAAAGTTCAAAAGAACAGCATTTATTTGAAATAGAAATCTTTTGTAACATTATAAATACCTTTATTGTCCATTTAGATTTATTTAACATATCCTTGCTAGGGTTGCAAAGGGGTGGAAAATTTCCGGTAAATTTCCGGAAACTTTCCAAAAATCCCTGGAATATTCAAAAAAAAAAATCCGGGAATGTTTGCAAAATTTCTGGAATGTTTCCGAAATTTACTGGAAATTTTCCACCTTTTTGCAACCCTAATCCTTGCTGAATAAAAGTATTAATTTATTTGACAAAAATGTTACTAAATTACAGGGGAAAAAATTAATACATTATTGTTAATACAAAAAATTCATAATACACTGACTAATGTTAATTCATAGAACTTGTATTATTAGTTGTATTCATTGTTAGTTTATGATTTCCAATGCATCAACTAACACAGACACACACACACACACACACACACACACACACAGACACATACACACACACACACACAGGATATATAAACCTGTACACACACACTCACTCACACACACACACACACAGAGACACTAGGGTTGCAAAGGGGTGGGAAAATTTCCAGCAAGTTTCCGGAAACTTTCCAAAACATCCCTGGAATATTCCAAAAAATCCTGGAAATTTTTCAAAATTTCTGGAATGTTTCCGAAATTTACTGGAAATTTTCCACCTTTTTGCAACCCTAATCCTTGCTGAATAAAAGTATTAATTTATTTGACAAAAATGTTACTAAATTACAGGGGAAAAAATTAATACATTATTGTTAATACAAAAAATTCATAATACACTGACTAATGTTAATTCATAGAACTTGTATTATTAGTTGTATTCATTGTTAGTTTATGATTTCCAATGCATCAACTAATGTTAAAAAACTAAACCTTATTGTGAATTGTAACCAGTTACTGGTTGAAAATAGAGAAAAAGTGATAAATTAAATGTCAGTAACTGGGCTGAATTTCACTAGGTAACAAACTAGAAGGTCTCAAATATACATAGTAAGTAGACTAGTAAACTATGCTAGTGCTACATCCACACAGATTCTGACAAGTGCATTTAATAACAGGCGTGACTCTCAGAGCGTCCTGTTTAGCTGCTGCATGAATGAATCAACTGATGTCAAGTTCCTTGTGTGCTCACAATAGCCATATCACATCACCTGTAACCATAGCGACAGTGACTCCAGTAAATATAATAACATTGGAAAGGCTTATCACAATTGACACAACGATATTCAATAAACAAGCCCAATTAAGCTGCAAATTAATCTGTGAAATTGAATTAACTGACAGCGGCTGCAAGCACAGAGCACAGAACTGAAAACAGCAGCATGACCTGAACTCTTCAGAAAAGGTGTGACAGACAACTAGACGACAACAGGTCCGTCCTGAAAATGTAATGCTTTTTCACTCCTATTAATAATTAAACTATAAGTAACCATATTAGTGCTCTAATGCATGACTGCGGATGTGTAAAAATAGTCTCTTCCCGTCCAACACAAACACGGCACTATCTGAAATGATTTGTGGTTTTATCCTGCAGTAATTGATCCCGTGACCCTGAATGAAGAATCAATCTCCTCATTTCAGCTTCATTGCACCCGTGATGAGGGATTTTTCTGCTCTCCTGCTGCTCTGAAGACAATTGAACACTCTACAGTCTTCTATTCTCCGAGCGTGAATCATACAGCGTATAATGCATCTCTCTGCACATGGCACGAATGATACAAAACAATCGGAGCACTCACACTGACAAACAAACGGTGCAGAGGAGAGGAGGCTCTTCTTACAGCGCTAACTCTGCATTTACAAAAATACAATCACCCAAAAAAGAAGGCTGCCATTCTCGTCTTGACTCACTGAGGTTAAACAATAACATTCAGCAGATATTACGGATAAGCATCTCAAATCTGCAAACATAAAAACCCTAAATGAACTTCACAGGAAAGAGCTGATGATAAGCAGAAAGACGTAATGGCAGAATAATAACGGCTAATGTCACTTAATGGGTCTCTGTTTCCTGTAAACCAGACCTCTTGATATCACAGGAGCAAAAGACATGGATTAGAGCTCAAAACCTTATGCACATACTGAAATCAATATATTTCAGGAACATACTGATCCTGCTGAAAAAAACAATAGACACCATTACAAAATGTGTAATGGTTTTACTGGTTATAATGGGACTTGTATTGATTTTAATGGAAACTGTACTGGACCATGTGCATCTCTTCAGGTAATTGGTCGCCTTCTATTGGTGGCTTGTTAAAACCAATAAATCCTAATGGAACATGTCCCAAAACACACTACAGGAAACCATTTTTAATGGTTTTAATGGTTAAAAGTTGATGGTTTGTAATGTTTGTAATGGAATTTGAAGTTCAAAGTATTTTTGTTTTTTTTCAGTATGGGTTTAATTGTAATAATGACCACTACTACATATTTTGATTATAGAAATGCTGAGTGTGTTTCTGTACATAACAAACGGATCATAATATGAAAGCCAGCATAGATAGCATAGACTACACAAATATGCAAGCAAAAAATATAGTCTTACTGTAAGTGACAACTAGACGAGTAAAGTTCGCTAACAAACTTTGAAATTGGCTTGAAAATGCCTCGACTGAAATTTAGACGCAGTTGTAAAAGCTTGACGTTTGAAAGTCTAGATAGATGTTGTTAGCATGTTTCTAGCATGATTAACATGTAGCTAGCATGTTTTTAACATGATTAGCCTGTTGTAAACATGTTTTTACGTATGATTAGCATGTTGCTAGCATGTTTTTAACATGATTCGCTGGTTGTTAACATGTTTTAGTATGATTAACCTGTTGTTAGCATGTTTTTAGCATGATTAGCCTGTTGTTAGCCTTTTTTTGTATGATTAGCATGTTGCTAGCATGTTTCAGCATGATTAGCGTGTAGTTAGCAGGATTAACACATTGCTAACCTGTTTTAGTATGTTGCTAGCATGATTTAGCATGTTGTCTATGATAGTCATTAAGCTTTGCTATTGATAGAAAGCTTAAATATTCTGTAAGCCTTACTGTACAAAAGTTTTCACCCCCTCAATGAAAGTCTATGGGATTTTTAGTGTATTTGGTAGTCTGGTTTTCGAAAACCACAAACCGGATCAGTTAGAAAAGATTTAGCAACTAACTTTAGAACAGTTTGACCTGAGTTTGGTGTTTGTAGCTTTAAAGCTCTAGGGGGAGATCCTGACTAAATTTTGGCTCAGAAGAAGCTTAAATAGCAGATCAGTAAGTTGACTTTTTAAAGCCAACGCAAATAATAACTGACTGCTAAATTATTTAAAATTAATGATTTTATTAATTCAATAAAAATAAACAAATAATCAATCATAAATAAAAAAATTAATCATTTTTATAAATACTAATAAATTCAATAAAAATAAACCTTGAAACCTTGGAGTTGTGATTGACGATAAGCTGCATTTCTCAGACCACATTGCTAAAACTGCCCGGTCCTGCAGATTTGCTTTATACAACATTAGGAAGATCAGGCCCTTTCTTTCTGAACATGCAACACAACTCCTTGTTCAAGCTCTTGTTCTGTCCAGGCTGGACTATTGCAATGCTCTCTTGGCAGGTCTTCCAGCCACTTCTATCAAACCTCTACAATTAATCCAAAATGCCGCTGCAAGATTAATCTTTAATGAGCCGAAAAGAACGCATGTCACACCTCTGTTCATCAATTTGCACTGGCTACCAGTAGCTGCTCGCATTAAATTCAAGGCATTAATGTTTGCTACAAAACCACCACTGGCTCTGCACCCATTTACCTAAATT